TCTACAAAGAAATGACCCCCTCCGTATAAATGATCCCCCTTTATGGAAATGAGCGTACTCCGTGGAAATGATCCCTTGTCCTTAGTCCGAAGAATCAAGGTACTAGGTGCTAATTCCAAGTTCCCTTAGCTTCACAATTTCCATTACATTTTCCTGCCGTATCAGATGATTTTAGTTTTAGTTTTCTGCATCTACGCCAAATTATTGCAACAAATATGGTACAACATTGCATGCAACCAGGCTAGGGATCACTTGTTTATTTTTTTCGTGTGTTTAAAATGTGTACGGATGTATGTGTTTGCGAAAGTCGAGCCTAGTTTGTTTCGATCTGATTAGCACGCTTTGTATAATGATACGGACATTGACACTGGCTGGNTTCTTGTTTTCCCTAAAACTAGAATCCTGTTGTATTGAAATGAGCCTTCTACAAAGAAATGACCCCCTCCTTATAAATGATCCCCCTTTATGGAAATGAGCGTACTCCGTGGAAATGATCCCTTGTCCCTAGTCCGAAGAATCAAGGTACTAGGTACTAATTCCAAGTTCCCTTCGCTTCACAATCTCCATTACATTTTCCTGCCGTATCAGATAATTTTAGTTTTAGTTTTCTGCATCTACGCCAAATTATTGCAACAAATATGGTACAAGATTGCATGCAACCAGGCTAGGGATCACTTTTTTATTTTTTTCGTGTGTTTAAAATGTGTACGGATGTATGTGTTTGCGAAAGTCGAGCCTAGTTTGTTTCGATCTGATTAGCACGTTTTGTATAATGATACGGACATTGACACTGGCTGGTTTCGTTTCATGGCTTCCTTGAAATTAGCTGCTCATACCCTCCCGGTGGTTGGTTCTGCCAGTGTCAGGCTTTGGACACGCTATTCTCCGTCCAAAGCCTCTTTCCTCCTTTTACTCCTAGCATCTCTACTTCTCCTTAGTTTCGGTTATGCAGTTCTCAGGTCTGTTGTTGTCTAGTTCTTTATTCATCGAGAGTTCATAAGGGCGACTCCTCATGTTGAAATTCTCTTTGCAGTGGACTTCGTGTTGAAGATATCCTCTACAATGGTGACTGAAGTCTCTATGATTTGTTGAACCACCATGACTTGGTTTACCGACTTTTTTTTTTTTTTTGATCTGGATCCAAAGCCGTCTCAGGTTACACCCTCGACTGCTCAGGTGCCAGTGGCCTCAAAGAAATCTGGAAAGTCTTTCAAGATAAGAGAACAACTTGAGTTAGAGTGGTTCGCTGTCAACAGCGGCCAGGCGAAAAAGTTTTGTCCCACTGAAAAATACAGATAATCCACCAATCACTGGTCAAATTAATTTACATTCAATCTATATAATTATCATACTACCTGGGCTGTCAAATCCGTGTGTAATTTCGTGTCCAATGACCATTGCCAGTTACTCGTAGTTGAGATGTCTAGAGGGACAGCATCCTACACTGAGTTTTATAGATAATTAGAAAATAGCCCAAAGAAAATGCACGCGCGGATTTGCTTAAAATCGTGTTTCTATTTAACAATTTGATTATGAGTTCTAAGTGATTTCGTTTTAAGCAATACCCCTCAAATTGGTATGGTTTATATGCTGATAAACCACGCAGGATGTTGGAAGAACTCGAGAAGAACTCGTAAATCATGAGCCGCAGGCGAGTGATTTACGAATTCTTCCATTTTTTGTTCTTTATATAATAATTGAGAAGATAGCGAAATTTCCATGAGTTTACTGGCACAATAAACCATAGCTGATTGACCAATCAGGGCGCGCGCATTCATTTAATTATTTTATAAAGCGTGATAGTTGACGAGGGCGCTGTTTGAAACGAACTGGAACATTCGCATCCTAAAGCATGCAAGATTATGTGTTTATTTTAAGAAGTGGTGTTGTGATGTTTCTTTTCTGAAACCAATCTGAGAAAACAATTATTTTGAGACTGGAAAAAGTTGAATATTTTAAATAAATTCATCTCATAAACATTTCGCTCATCAGGTTTCTTCAATTCTAGGCAAAGCAATAAATTCTTACCTCGAAATAATTTTGAAACCAATTTTGTGTTTGGTTTAGTCTTGCAATTGCCAGCTGAAACCTGTCGAGTATTTTTTTCGAGTCTAATGAAAAAGAAATATCTTTTTCTTTCTTCATCCTGCTTTCCGTACCTGTTCATAGCCTCCACAAGACTTTTCTCTAACTTATCCTTTGCCCAGTAACGTGAAATATTAAAAATTCTCAAAACTTAAAAAAAAAAGAGGGAAAACGTTTGTTGTATTGACGTCATCTATGCTTCTATCCTCTGATAGATCATAGGTTGGAACCAATCGAAATGAGAGAATAATTTGACTTACAGTCAAACCTGTATTAGAAACCCTCGGAACCCATGCTAGTGTCCGCTTAATACAGGGTGTCCCGTTGAAAACAGGTTTCCTCAGAATTCTTCTTAGAAGGGTCATATAATATTCGTCAGTATCAAAAGACTTGCAAGGGTCAAATAGCATTCTCGTGAACGGTTAAGAACTCTGAAATACCGTATTTCCATAATTAAACAATGACAAGTATATGAGGTAAAACGTTTTAAGTATACTGTAACAGTTTCTATATTGATCGAATCATGTAAAAGTTTACTAAATCAAACAAGAACAAGAGTTCTATAAAAACAAAACCGAATAACAAAATATTGTATTTCTGTTACAGCTCAGTTTGTTGGCAAACTTAAAGGACCGATCTGCTAAAACGTGGACAAAAAAAGTCATGCATTTTTTCTCCAGTGTTTTTTTTGGTTTCTAACAATAGAAATGACCGTAAAACTCATCTTTAAGGTGTCAGCGTCCGCTTAACAGAGGTGTCCGTTGAATACAGCTATGTTTTTCAGTTAATGTGGGAAAAGAAAAATGGGACTTGCACTGTATGCTGTCCGTTTAATTAAGGGTGTCCGCTTAATGTGAGGTCCGCTTAATACAGGCTTGACTGTATTATATAATTTGGAGTGGAGATTGGACCTGAAACCTTCGATATCAATGATTTTGCATCAGAGAGAAACCTAAAGAGTTTCTAAAAACCACACACTTAATTTCGTTACCAAGGCAATAATCGTTACCAAGGCTATAATAAAAACAGATTTGGTTTGATTCGAAATGATTTTCCAGTCCAGTTAAGAGCCATATTTTGCTTCGTCAATACCCATCACGACTTCTCCAAAAGCACAAAATTGTCATTTTTTTGCAGCACTGTCAAATATTGATTCACAACATCTAACATCAATCTTATGTCACTTTACTAATTTAAAGATGGTTTCTACCTAAAACAGAAACAGAAACCAAATCGCTTCTTTGTACCGAGAAGTAATTATTTTCACACTAAAAATAGCACTGAGAAAGAATTCAGAAATTCGGAAATTGCAAATTACAGAAATTAAATTTAACAAGGGTTTCGCCGCTGACCTAAGGACTCGCAATTTCCCTACTGGGTCACATAAAGTGGTCTTGGTGTATTCATCAAAATCGTTCTCCAAAATCGTCACATCCTATTTTGTCATTTCCAGTGAGAGAAAAAAAACCGCCAGAATAACAAATATGACGATTTGATGTTTGCTCTTACCTAACAATCAATTAAACACAAAAATATACTTTGCATCTCTTACCCTATAATGTTACATACAGCAAACAAACTAACATACTTTACATTTACAACAATCCGTGATTTTACTCGACTGTAAATAAAAAGCCTACCTTGCTATCTTAATTTAAATCAAAACAGCAAAATATTACAATAAGAAATCCTGTAGTTTTGTCGAAAGTTTTGAAGCGACATGAAAAACAGAAAATGCAAAGTCAATGGGGGACAGGGTCCCTTAGAACTTGCTGGGAT